CAATGATAATTCATGTGTTGCTTATTGATCCACAAACTATGCAGCATATCTTTCGGCAGGTTTACCAGTGAATGGAAGAAAAGTTTTAAAGTGTATTACATTTTCCATTTCTCGGCTTGACGTAAACAGAACCTCTCTAGTTCTGTTCTATTTTCTACTGAAAAAAAGCTTACCTATTTCCCAAAACAAAGAAAACAACAATAAAGGAGTTGTACTTTATGAAAAATTCCATGATAGGAGTGGCCATGTTCATGTGCCCATAGGCGTTAGAATAATTATGCTGTAGAAAGAGTCCTAGTGGAAGAATCATGATATGATGGGCAATTTTTCATGCAACAACAGATTCTACACAGTTATTTACCCTTTTGATGCAGTTATGGTTAATGAAAAGGAAGAACAACAATTACACCAACAATCTCTCAGCAAAACACAAAAGTTTGCCTAAAGGGATATTTAAAATCAAGATCACCAACTGAATGGCTAAACCAGTTTCACCTAACCAAGTCAACATGTAGGTATATATGAAAATGATATCGGCATCATTTTGGTGGAGCCATCCTATCATGCTTGGAGATTTCTGCATTATTAAGTCGAACACCACCTGCGAAGTAACAAGTATGTAATAATTGATAGGCATATGCATGCACACAATTCATGCATACATGTTAAGAGGAGATACTAGCAGTGCTAATATTTAAGTAAAACAGCATCATAAGGTTTGATGGAAAAGGGATAGGTTATTTCTGAGCATGAAAATGAAACTAATGTGTGTCAAGTATATTTTCAAACATTTCAGATCTGCTCAATGTAATATCCCGAATTTTTATTACTAGTCGTTAGATTAAAAATTAGGACTTAAGTGCGCTATTATTAAAGTCTTATGACCTTATTAATTACTAACCAATAGTTTGAAGGCCTAAGTAATGAGTTAATTTGGAAGTTAAATAAAATTTATGTAAATATGTCAATTAGCTATGATTAAAGATTATTATTTGACCACATACATTATTCACCACATTTTAAGCAAAGTAATTGCTTTGACCACATAAACTAAGGTAACTGATTAGACCACATGCATTATTTACACCAAAATTCAAGTGAAGTCAATTGATTTGATCACATGATTAAAGAAATTGATTTGACAACTTTAAAGTCATTTACCAATTATGCTTTGACCATGTCTAACATATAGCCATTTCCTTTCAATTTTTCATACATGATCCAAGAACTTGCACTATAAATAAGAGTTAAAATCAACAACGGACTTCCCTCACCAATTATTTACACTCTTCCTCTCTATTTCTATCAATTTATCTCTACACCTTTACTCTTTCTCTTGCCTTTTTCATATTAAATTTAGTCTTACTTACACGATCACAAATCCTGGCACGTGGCTCAAAGATCTCCTTCCAACAATCGCTTCTTCTATCACTTTTGAATTATCAAGTGAAAGAGAAGTGTAATAGTACGAATAGTCCTTTCATTATTTAAATCATGAAAATTTATGTTATGAACATAATGATACGAAAATTATAGTTATGATTATGATAAGGGTCTATATGTGTAAGTTCAAAGGTGCGCTACGCACAGGAATTATAGCCACGAAGTTCGGATTTTAATTCTCGTGTCTCCATATGTATGTTATGATTTTTCGTAATTAAATATGAGATGAAAATTCGTTATTACTCATTTACAGAGATTTATGTCTCACATGTATAAACTAAATATTTTATAGGTAGTTAAAAGAGGCGGGTTCGAGGCGATTAGAGATGGATTGTGCTTGCATGGTTGAAAATGAATAATGATTTAAGTAGTTAAAGCTTTTTAACGATGTTTATTGTACTTTCTTTAAAATTTGTTTTAAACCTTTCACATTCAAATAATATTTTTTTTATTATTATTTATGAAAGTATTATTTTACAGTACATGTATAATGATTCCAAAGGTAAAAATTTGTGTCGTTACACTCAGTTATAGTGATAACTACCCGAGCCTCTGCCTCTTTTTATCTTCTTTTCAGGATATGACAAAATTTGGGAAGAAGGAAGGAGATTCAGAAAAAGCTCATAAAATAAAGAGATGGCTAAAAGTATAGTGCTTGGTTGTGGTTATAATATCAATTTGAAGATTTGATAAAACATATACCAATTATGACCACTTCGAGAAGTTATGTAACAATTCAACTTGTATGGGAACTCCCCCCCCCCAACCAAAATCCCCATCTTTGAATGATGATTCAATCAACATTGCTATTTGCAAAAGTTCATATAATTCAATGTTTATGCAATTTTCACATAACAAAACGACTAGAACAAAAAGATACAACATTTCATAATAATCTTAAAACAACATCACAATAGTGGCAGTTGATATCAGAATATCAACTGTCCTGAGAAAGAGATCATTCATCGATTAGTTTATTATATTTAGAGTACAATACCAAAAAACCAGACATCAATTGTTGACAGACAAAGGAATAAAAGGTGATGAATGAGGAAAAAAAGGGAGGGGGTGCGAGGTGGAACTCGAGGCAGAGGAACTGGATAAATAATGAGGTTCGGCTGGGTTGGGTGGCAAGATATAGGACGACGATGGAGTTGTAGAGCGGAAACCCAAGTATCAAGACAAACTGATATGATCGCATGTATAATGTAGTTTAGTAGTACATTTCTTATAAACCATCAAATTTTGTCAAGTGATTCACTTAAATAATCAACCATGGCCACTTAAAGCGTATGGCATAACTAAATTAATAACTTACATGTCTGTGAGCTTTCAGATATCGTTATTGAAGAGGTGTAATAGATTATCAATGTCAGATAATAAAGATGCCATACGAGCTCAAATTGACACATGCAATAAAGTTCACAGTAGCTAATGTTAGGAACTGACAAGCAATCATTGTGGCAAAGAAGTTCCACGGTTTAAAACATCATATACTTTCACTAAGAATTTCAGTGTAAAGACTTGTAGAAAGTAACTGGTTATGATAATTTCGGATAATACTCAGGTCTCAGAGGAGTAACAATACCAAAATGCTTTATAATAGAAGTTCAATAAAGTGACCAATGGAATTCTCCCATTCTTAAAATATATAGATATGGATTGCTTCCCCAACACAAATACCCTCTTATCATTTTCTCTGAATTTCTTGAAATTAAAAAGTGAACAAATTTGTCTCTCTTTATAGTTTTTCTTAAAAAATTCTGATTGCTGCCACACTGGGTATGATCATTATCTATTTCTCATCAAACGTTAATCTTGAAAAGAAGGCAGCCTTTATTAGGTCTGCGTCAATCTTCCTCGATAAGGAAAGACACAAACTTATTGTTTTAGGCCTCTCAAATTTAAAACTAGCTTTCCAGATTATAAGAGGTTTTAGATCATACCCGCCCCATCCGGAATATAGGGATTGTAAGGATATTGAAGGATATAGTATTTCAATTTCTTTTGTGCCTAATCTAGTTAAGTAGCGAAATTCTACAAGGAACTGTAGTATTAATTCCTTACTTTTTTTTCTTCCTAGGATTTGATAGCTCAAAGGATAATTTTACTTTAATGTAGCATGCTCAGTAAATAGCTAATTTAGATTCATGAATGATAAAGTTCTATGTTATTCATCGTCCAGGTCATTCTTTTCTCTTTTCGTCCTCACTAAATCTTTGAGTTCAACAAGTTCAAACAAAATAAACTGCATGAACGATCTTTCAGATTAAGAATTTATAATGCCCATATTATTGCTAGTCTCCTTCAAAAAGAGAGAGATAAAAGAAGGAAAGAAAGAAAGAAAGAACTGCACACACACACACACCCCCCCCCATGAGTTTAGTTATTTACCAGGTCGTGAAATCAGGTGAATGCGAGAGCGAGGTCCATCAAACATCCAGCTATCTTCGTCCAGGGACTTGACCTCTTTACTTAGAGTCGCGATCAAATCAGACTTGAGAACTGAAAACATTAGCTAAGTTATTCACATTTCTAAAATTTTCATTATGGTTTTGAAAACTATAGAAACTGCATCAAACGTTATCTGAGGCATTCCTGTGTTATTCATTCCAAATTCCTGAAAGAACGATAAATGAATCCATGAAGCACGTAATTTTCCGAAACTTAGACACATCAAAATGTATTTCTGCAAGTGCATTTATTATAAATCCAACTAAAGCAATCTATCTCAGCCATGAAACAAAGGTTCTCAAAGGGCAAATTACTGCTACTACTAAAGGTCTAGATTTTTGTAATTCCAGAATGATTTTTTTCTAATTGGTATTATTTTGTGGGGGTGAGCGCGTGTGAATTTTGGGTTTTGGGTTGGTTGGGGGGGGG